GGCTGAGGCAGGAGAATGGCGGGAACCCGGGAGGCGGAGCTTGCAGTGAGCCGAGATCGCACCACTGCACTCCAGCCTGGGTGACAGAGCGAGACTCCGTCTCAAACAAAACAAAACAAAAAAGAGACACAGATGCAGAGAAAAAGGCCATGTGGAGACGGAGGCAGAGAGTGGAGTGATGTGGCCACAAGCCCAGGGACCCCTGGAGTCCCCAGGAGCTGGGAGAGGCAGGAAGGATCCCCATTCGTCCGTTAAAATGGACTAATACAGGGGGACAGACAGAGACAGATAGAGAAACAGAGAGATGGAGGCAGAGAGAGGGAGAGAGAAAAACAGAGACAGAAGCGGAAACAGAGGGACAGAGACAGAGAGAGTGGGTGATGGAGTCTGGCTGTGTCCCCACCCAAATCTCATCTTAAATTCGAGCTCCCATAATTCTGACGTGTTGTGAGAGGGACTGGGCGGGAGATAATTGAATCATGGGGGCAGTCTCCCCCATACTGTTCTCAGGGTAGTGAATACGTCTCACAAGATCTGATGGTTTAATAAAAGAAACCCTTTCTCTTGCCTCTCTTTTTTTTTTTTTTCTCCAGACATAGTTTTGCTGTCACCCAGGCTGGAGGGCAGTTGGCACGATCTCAGCTCACTGCAACCTCCGCCTCCCCGGGTTCACGCCCTTCTCCTGCCTCAGCCCCGAGATAGCTGTGGACTACAGGGCGTGCCCACCCGCCCGGCTAATTTTTTGTATTTTCGTAGAGACGGGTTTCCACCGTGTGACCAGGATGGTCTCGATCTCCGACCTTCGTGATCGGCCCACCTGGCCTCCCAAGGTGCTGGGATGACAGGCGTGGAGCCACCACGCTTGGCCCTGGAGGCCATTATTCTAAGTGAGTAACTCAGAGATGGAAAACCAAATTATCGTATCTCATCTGTAAGTAGGAGCTAAGCTATGAGAATGCAAATGCACCAAGAATATTATGGAACTTGGGGACTCCGGGGGTGAGGATGGAAAGGAGGTGAAAATAAAAGACTACATATTCGAGGCCAAGCATGGTGGCTCACGCCTGTTATCCCAGCATTTTGGGAGGCCAGCGGGTGGATCGCCTGAGTCAGGAGTTCGAGACCAGCCTGGCCAACATAGTGAAACCCCATCTGTATAAAAATGCAAAAAAAAAACTTAGCTGGCGTGTGCGAGTGCCTGTAATCCCAGCTACTTGGGAGGCTGAGGAGTAGATCTGCTTCAACCCGGGAGGCAGAGGTTGCAGCGAGCCGAGATCGTTGCCACCGCACTCCAGCCGATGGCAACAAGAGCAAAACTCCGTTTCGAAAAGAAGATGAAGAGAGGAGGAGAAAGGGAGAGAGATACAGAGAGGGAGGAGATAGAGACGAGAGAAAGAGAGGAGGAGAATGAAAGAGGGAGAGACGGTGACAGTGGGAGACAGAGAAAGAGGAGGGAGAAAGGGAGAGAGATACAGACACACAGACTGGGAGGGGGAGATACAGACAAGGAGAGAGAGAGACGGAGTGGAGGGAGAATGAGGAGAGACAGAGACACAGATGGGACAGTGGGAGATAGAGACGGAGAGAGAGAGATGGAGGGAGAAAGGGAGATACAGAGACAGACAGAGAGGGGAGATAGGAGAGAAGGAGGGAGAAAGGGGAAAGAGATCCAGAGACACGGAGACAGATACAGGAAACAGACGGACAGAGAGAGAGGGACATGACAATGCCGTGTGCGGCTGTTTGTTCCTCCCGGATCCAGGCAGGGGCTGGTGGAGGTCCTCTGGTGTGACCTGCTCGTCTGAGGCCTGGGCCACCTGTCTGTCAATGCTTGTCTCTGCTGGGTAGAACTATGGTTTGGTAGCGCGTTCCTGCTGGACTGGGGCTGCCTGGCCCGGGGTAAGGCATGTGGGGCAAATGGGGGGACCTCGTTTGGACGGCGCCCGGCCAGCCACAGCGTCTGGCTCTCACACCTCGGGAGGGGTCATCCCTGACTCTGCCCTTTCCCATCCCTCAATTTGGGGATGGGCTATATCCCAATTTTGCAAGATTGCAGTAAGGGTGACACCCAGAGCCTGTCAAATGAAAGCCACTGAACCGTGACTAATAATATTATAAATAATATTATATAATATATATTATTATATATTATACATTTGCATATATACAATTTATATAGATGTATATTATAATTATGTATAATATATTAATTATATATTATAAAATATATTTATTATATATTATAAAAATATATAATATATAAATTATAGAATATATATAATTATAATGACAATATATAACCTTATATAATTGTATCTATAATTATATATAACATATATAACTATATAATATATAACATAAATATATAAAATATAAATTACATATAATATAAATATATAATATATAAATGTTTTATTATATATGGTGACAGCAAGACTGCATCTCAAAATAAATATATATAATATATAATTATATATATATATATGTAATTACATACATATGATTATATATCACAATATATCATATATGTCACATTATATATAATATAAATAACATGATTATATATATCACATATAATATATAACAATATGTATTACAACATATACAGCATATCACATATATATAACATATATATGTAATATATAGCATATATTGTTATATATTATATGTTGTGTGTTATCTAATACATCATATGTAATATATAATTATATATTGTAATAAATGGTATATTATAATAAAAATATTAATACAATAATTAATAGTATTATTAATAATAATAATAAAACTCACCCTTTGCAATGTCAAGTACAGCGTCTGGGGCTACGCAACACTCACCTGTTCTGTCCTTACAGGCTGCATTCTCTGCAAGACAAAAGCAAACAAACTTTTGAGTGTCTGGAGGCTTACCTGACAGCCTCCTCCTTCCAAACTCAAATTTCTTTCTCCAGGAAAACCAGCAAAACAGTGGGGGCTCTGGGAAGGCCTTGGGGCAGCAGTGGGGGCAAAAGCAGTAGGGGTACATAGCACCTGACCAAAAGGTTGGTTGGTTGATTTATTTATTTATGAGATGGAGTCTTGCTCTGTCACCCAGGCTGGAGTGCTGTGGCGTGATTTTGGCTTACTGCAAGCTCTGCCTCCCGGGTTCACGCCATTCTCTTGCCTCAGCCTCCCGAGTAGCTGGGACTACAGGCGCCCGCCACCACACCCGGCTAATTTTTTGTATTTTTAGTGGAAAGTTGGCCAGGATGGTCTTGATCTCTTGACCTCATGATCTGCCTGCCTCGGCCTCCCAAAGTGCTGGATTACAGGCGTGAGCCACCACGCCCGGCCCAAAAGGTTTCTTACGGTGTACAAGCCCTTGTGGCAAGACTTGGTGGGAGGGGGCTTCGTGAGGCCTGTGGACAAACAAGACCCACTGTCTCTCAGACTGCCTCCGGATGCACCCAGGGGTAGCCACAGACAGCCTATGCCAGGCCAACGAACTGGGGGGGGTGCAGCACCAGACTAGCTAGGACTCCGCCTCTGGTTGCAGCTACGCCTGCTCCCTCATCAGTGAAAGAAAGAAAGAAGTCTGTGCTGTATTTATTTTCTTAAAAAAAAAAAAAACACATGGGCTCAAAACTACTTGGTAATATAAAAGAATTCATAGACCTAATGTTTTTGAGCAGATATAGACTTACAGAAAAACTGCACATGAAATAATCAGTATTTGAGCATAAATAATAAATATATGGCCAGGCACGGTGCCTCGCACCTGTAATCCCCAGGCCTTTGGGAGGCTGAGGCGGGTGGATCACGAGGTTAAGAGTTCGAGGCCAGCGGGGCCAAGATGGTGAAACCCCGTCTCTACTAAAAAATACAAAAAAAATTAGCCAGGCGCGGTGGCAGGCACCTGTAATCCCAGCTACTCAGGAGACTGAAGCCGAGAATCGCTTGAACCTGGGAGGCGGAGGTTACAGTGAGCTGAGATCGTGCCACTGCACCCCAGCCTGGGTGACAAGAGTAAGACTCTATCTCAAAAATAAATAAATAAATAAATAAATAAAAATAAAAAACTAAATATAGTATATAGGCTGGGCCCGGAGACTCATACCTGTAATCCCAGCACTTTGGGCGACAGAGCGAGACTCTGGCAATGCAATGCAATGCACTACACTACACTACACTACACTACACTACACTACGATATGACACAATACAATACAATACATTAAAAAAAATTTAAAAATTAAAAAAATTTTTTTTTTTTTTTTTTTTTTGAGACGGAGGCTGGCTCTGTCGCCCAGGCTGGAGTGCAGTGGCCCGATCTCAGCTCACTGCAAGCTCCACCTCCTGGGTTCAGGCCATTCTCCTGCCTCAGCCTCCCAAGTAGCTGGGACTACAGGCGCCCACCACCTCGCCCGGCTAATTTTTTGTATTTTTTAGTAGAGACGGGGTTTCACCATGTTAGCCAGGATGGTCTCGATCTCCAGACCTTGTGATCCACCCGCCTTGGCCTCCCAAAGTGCTGGGATTACAGGCTTGAGCCACCGCGCCTGGCCAAAAATTAAAAAACATAAAAAAAATAAATAAATGAAATGAAATAATAAAATAAAATAAAATACTAAATCTAACACATAGGCTGGGCCCAGAGGCTCACACCTGTAATCCCAGCACTTTGGGCGACAGAGCAAGACTCTGTCAATGGAATGGAATGGAATGGAGAATGGAATGGAATGGAGAACGGAATGGAATGGAGAATGGAATGGAATGGAGAATGGAATGGAATGGAATGGAGAATGGAATGGAATGGAGAACGGAATGGAATGGAGAATGGAATGGAATGGAATAGAGAACGGAATGGAATGGAGAACGGAATGGGGAACGGAATGGAATGGAGAACGGAATGGAATGGAGAACGGAATGGAATGGAATGGAGAACGGAATGGAATGGAGAATGGAATGGAGAACGGAATGGAGAATGGAATGGAGAACGGAATAGAATGGAGAACAGAATGGAGAATGGAATGGAATGGAAGAATGCAATGGAGAATGGAAGAGAGAATGGAATGGAATGGGGAATGGAGAATGGGGAACGGAATGGAGAATGGAATGGAATGGAGAACGGAATGGAATGGAATGGAACGGAATGGAATGGAATGGAACGGAATGGAATGGAATGGAACGGAGAATGGAATGGAATGGAGAACGGAATGGAATGGGGAATGGAGAACGGAATGGAATGGAGAATGGAATGGAATGGAGAACGGAATGGAATGGAAAATGGAATGGAATGGAGAACGGAATGGAGAATGGAATGGAATGGAGAACGGAATGGAATGGAATGGAGAATGGAAGACAGAATGGAATGGAATGGAGAACGGAATGGAATGGGGAATGGAATGGAGAATGGAGAACGGAATGGAATGGAATGGAACGGAGAATGGAATGGAACGGAATGGAATGGAGTGGAGAACGGAATGGAATGGAGAATGGAATAGAGAACGGAATGGAGAATGGAATGGAATGGAGAACGGAATGGAGAATGGAATGGAATGGAATGGAGAATGGAATGGAATGGAATGGAGAATGGAATGGAATGGAGAACGGAATGGAATGGAGAACGGAATGGAATGGAGAATGGAATGGAGAACGGAATAGAATGGAGAAGAGAATGGAATGGAATGGAAGAATGCAATGGAGAATGGAAGAGAGAACGGAATGGAATGGGGAATGGAATGGAGAATGGGGAACGGAATGGAATGGAATGGAACGGAGAATGGAATGGAACGGAATGGAATGGAGAATGGAATGGAATGGAGAACGGAATGGAATGGAGAATGGAATGGAATGGAATGGAGAATGGAGAACGGAATGGAATGGAAGAGAGAATGGAATGGAATGGAGAACGGAATGGAATGGGAATGGAATGGAGAATGGAGAACGGATGGAGAATGAATGGAATGGAGAACGGAATGGAATGGAACGGAATGGAAATGGAGAATGGAATGGAGAACGGAATGGAGAATGGAATGGAATGGAAGAATGGAATGGAGAATGGAAGAGAGAACGGAATGGAATGTGGAATGGAATGGAGAATGGGGAACAGAATGGAATGGAATGGAACGGAGAATGGAATGGAACGGAATGGAATGGAGAATGGAATGGAATGGAGAATGGAATGGAATGGAGAACGGAATGGAATGGAATGGAGAACGGAATGGAATGGAGAATGGAATGGAAGAGAATGGAATGGAATGGAGAACGGAATGGAATGGGAATAGAATGGGAATGGAACGGATGGAGAATGCAATGGAATGGAGAACGGAATGGAATGGAAAGGAATGGAATGGAGAATGGAATAGAGAACGGAATGGAGAATGGAATGGAATGGAGAATGGAATGGAGAATGGAATGGAGTGGAGAACGGAATGGAATGGAGAATGAAAGAAGGAATGGAGAATGGAATGGAATGGAGAAGGAATGGAATGGAGAATGGAATGGAGAATGGAATGGAATGGAATGGAGAATGGAATGGAATGGAGAATGGAATGGAATGGAGAATGGAATGGAATGGAGAATGGAATGGAGAACGGAATGGAATGGAACAGAATGGAATGGAGAACGGAATGGAATGGAGAACGGAATAGAATGGAGAAGAGAATGGAATGGAATGGAAGAATAATGGAGAATGGAATGAGAGAATGGAATGGAATGGAGAAGGAATGGAATGGGAATGGAATGGAATGGGAAGGAATGGAATGAGAAGGAATGGAATGGAATGGAATGGAGAACGGAATGGAATGGAGGAATGGAATGGAGAATGGAATGGAGAATGGAATGGAATGGAGAATGGAATGGAGAACGGAATGGAATGGAAGGAATGGAATGGAATGGAGAATGGAATGGGAATGGAATGGAATGGAGAACGGATGGAATGAATGGAATGGAGAATGGAATGGAATGGAATGGAATGGAGAATGGAATGGAATGGAGAATGGAGATGGAGAACGGAATGGAATGGAGAATGGAATGAGAACGGAATGGAGAATGGAATGGAATGGAGAATGGAATGGAATGGAATGGAGAATGGAATGGAATGGAGAAGGAATGAATGGGAACGGAATGAATGGAGAATGGAATGGAGAACGGAATGGGAATGGAATGGAATGGAGAATGGAATGGAATGGAGAACGGAATGGAATGGAATGGAGAAGGAATGGAATGGAAGGAATGGAATGGAGAATGGAATGGAATGGAGAAAGGAATGGAAGGGAATGGAATGGAGAATGGAATGGAGAACGGAATGGAATGGAGAACGGAATGGAATGGAGAATGGAATGGAATGGGAAGGAATGGAATGGAGAAGGAATGGAGAAGGGAATGGAATGGAGAATGGAATGGAATGGAATGGGAATGGAATGGAATGGATGGAATGGAGAGGAATGGAATGGAATGGAATGGAGAAGGAATGGAATGGAGAAGGAATGGAATGGAGAAGGAATGGAATGGAGAATGGAATGGAATGGAATGGGAGAATGGAATGGAACGGAGAATGGAATGGAAGAATGGAATGGAGAACGGAAATGGAATGGAGACGGAATGGGAACGGAATGGAAATGGATAACGGAATGGAATGGAGAAGGAATGGAGAATGGAATGGAATGGAGAAGGGAATGGAATGGAGAATGGAATGGAATGGAGAACGGAATGGTGAATGGAATGGAAATGGAGAATGGAATGGAGAACGGGATGGAATGCAGAATGGAATGGAATGGAGAAATGGAATGGAATGGAGAAAGGAATGGAGAATGGGAATGGAATGGAGAATGGAATGGAATGGAGAAGGAATGGAATGGAGAATGGAATGGAGAACGGAATGGAATGGAGAATGGAATGGAGAATGGAATGGAATGGAGAACGGGAATGAAATGGAGAAGGGAATGGAATGGAGAATGGAATGGAATGGAATGGAGAATGGAATAGAGAATGGAATGGAGAATGGAATGGAATGGAGAACGGAATGGAATGGAATGGAATGGAGAACGGAATGGAATGGAGAACAGAATGGAATGGAGAATGGAATGGAATGGAGAATGGAATGGAATGGAGAACGGAATGGAATGGAGAACGGAATGGAATGGAGAATGGAATGGAGAATGGAATGGAATGGAGAATGGAATGGAATGGAGAATGGAATGGAGAACGGAATGGAATGCAATGGAGAATGGAATGAAATGGAGAACGGAATGGAATGGAGAATGGAATGGAATGGAGAATGGAATGGGGAACGGAATGGAATGGAGAATGGAATGGATAACGGAATGGAATGGAGAATGGAATGGAATGGAGAACGGAATGGAATGGAGAATGGAATGGAATGGAGAACGGAATGGAATGGAGAATGGAATGGAGAACGGAATGGAGAACGGAATGGAATGGAGAACGGAACGGAATGGAAGACGGAATGGAGAACGGAATGGAATGGAGAACGGAATGGAATGGAGAATGGAATGGAGAACGGAATGGAATGGAGAATGGAATGGAATGGAGAATGGAATGGAGAACGGAATGGAATGCAATGGAGAACGGAATGGAATGGAGAATGGAATGGAATGGAGAATGGAATGGAGTACGGAATGGAATTGAGAATGGAACGGAATGGAGAACGGAACGGAATGGAGAACAGAACGGAATGGAGAACGGAACGGAATGGAGAACGGAATGGAGAACGGAATGGGGAACGGAATGGAATGGAGATCGGAATGGAATGGAGAATGGAATGGATAACGGAATGGAATGGAGAATGGAATGGAATGGAGAACGGAATGGAATGGAATGGAATGGAGAACGGAATGGAGAACGGAACGGAATGGATAACGGAACGGAATGGAGAACTGAATGGAATGGAGAACGGAACGGAATGGGGAACGGAACGGAATGGAGAAGGAATGGAATGGAGAACGGAATGGAATGGAGAACGGAATGGAATGGGGAACGGAATGGAGAATGGAATGGAATGGAGAACGTAATGGAATGGGGAACGGAATGGAATGGAGAATGGAATGGAGAACGGAATGGAATGGGGAACGGAATGGAGAACGGAATGGAATGGAGAACGGAATGGAATGTCTCAATAAATGAATAAATAAATAAATATTTATGTTCCACTGGGCCCGTGTATCCACAAGCGTTACACGTGCGATCCAACGACCCGTGGATCAAAAATATTTGAGTAACTTGCATTGAATTTGTAGATCACTAAAAAAGAAAACAGAAAGTTCAAGAAAAAAATAAAAATAACCACACAACAATAAAAATAATAGAAATAAAACACAATAGACCGCATAAGGTCTAAAATTTTTGTTCTTTTTTTTTTGAGACGGAGTCTCACACTGTCGCCCAGGCTGCAGTGCAGTGGCACGATCTCGGCTCACTGCAACCTCCGCCTCCCAGATTTACGCCATTCTCCTGCCTCAGCCTCCCGAGTAGCTGGGACTACAGGTGCCCGCCACCTCGCCCGGCTAGTTTTTGTATTTTTAGTAGAGACGGGGTTTCAGCATGTTGGTCAGGCTGGTCTCGAACTCCTGACCTTGTGATCCGCCCGCCTTGGCCTCCCAAAGTCCTGGGATGACAGGTGCGAGCCACTGCGCCCGGCCTTTTTTCTTTTTCTTTTTTTTAACGATCCCTGCGTTCTGTGGCGTTATCAGAGATTTTTTTGCCCGTCCCAAGGCCCCAGAGTGCAACTTCCCAAAAATCAGGGCTGTCCAGGGCGGGGGTGGTGGGGGGAACGGGTGAACGGTTTACCTTTTGGATCCGAAGCTCATAGCGGAATTTGCGATTGAAATGACTTTTCATTTTCCAGTGCATGAAGGAATGTGTCTCATTACACTCTCCAGTCATGTTGGGTGGAGTTAATCTCTCTAACAATGAGAAAAGCACTTTTAGCAGTAAAAATCAATTCTTTTTTTTTTTCTAGAGATACTTCACACAGGACTGAGCCGTGCTGGGGGCGCTGGGGGAAGTGACCCTCCTTAGGATTTGCATCCTGGGAACCCCACTGTCCTGGGAGCAGCCTTGAGCACCACCCTTTTGGTCACTTCAGTACCAGCTTTTCTGAGGATTGGCAGGTGCACATCTTTGTCCCTGCCCCCTCCATCTCTGGGCTCAGCCCCGCTGGGCAGCCTGGCCCACTCCCCACCCCTGCCCAGCGCCAACCCCCACTCCCCATGCCCCCTCTGCCCGCCTACAGCCCACTGCAGCCTTGAGGGCCCTCTCCGCAGCATTCAGGATGGGCCCTCCAGAGACTCCTGCACTTTTGACCTGTACATATCCTTCTGGAGCTGCCACTTCCCGGCTTCTCTCCTCCCGCCCATCCCCACCTCAGCCCCCTGAGGGGATGTCCCGCCACTCCCAGCGGCCCAGGGCATCCTCCACGTCCAGGGAACCCCAGGCACTTCCACATTCTCAGGCCAGCGCAGCCCTGTGTCTCCGGCTGTCTGTCTGGGTCTCCCCTGGGCCCCTGGAAGCAAGTCCAGCCCTGGCCCCCGCCTCCTTCTCCCCCTCCTCCTGCTCTCCTGTTCTTTCTCCCCTTCCCTACCCTCCTCCCCTCCACTCCTCTTCCTCTCCCTCCTTTTCTACCCCTTCTCTCTCTCCTCCCCATTCTCCTTGTCACCCTCCTCTTCCCCTCTCCTTTCTCCTCCTCCTCCCCTGCTCATTCTCCTCCTCCTCCTCCTCTTTTTCTTCCTCCTGTTCCTTCTTCCTTCTGCCCCTCCTCCTCCTTTTTCCTCCCCTTCCTCCATCCTCTCCCCTCCTCCCTCCTCCTCTCTTCCCTTCTCCCCCTCCACCCTCCTCCCCTCCTTTTCCTCCCTCTCCTCCTCCTCCCCTGCCCATTCTCCTCCTCCTTTTTCTTCCTCCTCTCTTCCTGCTCCTTCTTCCTTCTGCCCCTCCTCCTCCTTTTTCCTCCCCCTCCTGCTCCCCTCCCTCCATCCTCTCCCCTCCTTCTCCCTCCTCCTCTCTTCTCTTCTCCTCCCTCCACCCCCTCCTTTTTCTCCCTCTCCTCCTCCTCCCTTGCCCATTCTCCTCCTTCTCCTCCCACTCCTTCTGCCCCCCTCCTCGTCCCTCCCTCTCCTGCTCTCCTTCCTCCACCCTCCCCTCCTCCCTCCTCCTCTCTTCCCTCCTCCACCACCACCCTCCTCCCCCTCCTTTTCCTCCCTCTCTTCCTCCTGTCCTTTCTCCTCCTCCTCCCCCTCCTCAGCTCACTACCCTTATACCCCACCTTCTCTGTCTTCCCCTCCCTCCCCCTCCTACTCCTCTCCATTCTCCTTCCTCTCTTCTCCCTCCTCTTCCTCCTCCACCCTCTCCTCCTCCTCCTTCTTTCTGCCTCTTGTTCTTTCTTCTCCTCCTCCTCCTTCCCTCCCCGTCTCCACCTCCTCCCCCTCCTTTCCCTCCGTCTTCTTCTCTTCCTCCTCCTCCTCCTTTTCCTGTTTCCTCTTTTCTTCCTTCTCCTCTTCCCCCTGCTCATGTTCTTCCTCTCCTCCCTTCTCTTCTCCTTGTCCTTCTCCTCCTCTTCCTCATTTCCCCCTCCTCTTCCAAGGTATCCAAGCACCCTCCCCGTGGGGTCAGGGCACGTCCGCTCTGGGCATATTGACATTCTCACCACCTGGGAGGTTCCCCGGAGCTCGGATGTTGTGGACTGAAAGTGTGTGTCCTCCTGTCCCAAATTCCTGTGTTGAAGCCCTGACCCCTGGTTGGACGGTGTTAGAAGGTAGGGCCTTTGGGAGGTGACTGGGGTGGGCTGAAGTTATGAGGGTGGACCGCTATGATGGGGGGGTACCATGACCCGTGATGGAACCCATGATGAGGGATTCCATGACTCATGATGGAACCTATGATGGGGGCTCCCATGACCCATGACCCGCTCCCATGACCCATGGTTGCGGGGGGTCCCATGACTCATGATAGGACCCATAAGGGATCCTATGACCCATGATGGAACCCATGATGAGGGATCCTATGACCCATGATGGAATCCAAGATGAGGGATCCTATGACCTATGATGGAACCCATGATGAGGGATCCTATGACCCATGATGGAACCCATGATGAGGGATCCTATGACCCATGATGGAACCCATGATGAGGGATCCTATGACCCATGATGGAACCCATGATGAGGGATCCTATGACCCATGATGGAACCCATGATGAGGGATCCTATGACCCATGATGGAACCCATGATGAGGGATCCTATGACCCATGATGGAACCCATGATGAGGGATCCTATGATCCATGATGGGACCCATAATGAAACCCATAATGAGGGATCCTATGACCCAAGGTGGGACCCGTGACAGGGGATCCTATGACCTATGATGGGGGATTCTATGACTCATGATGGAACCCATGATGGGGGCTCTCATGACCCATGATGGGGGGGATCCCATGGCTCATGATAGGACCCATGATGGGGGATCCTATGATCCATGATGGGGGGGTCCCATGACCCATGATGGGACCATGATGAGGGATCCCATGACTCATGGTGGAACCCATGATGGGGGATCCAATGATGCATGATGGGACCTATGATTGGGGATCCTATGACCCATGATGGGGGTGTTGCATGACCCATGATGGGACCCATGACGGGGGATCCTATGACCTATGATGGGACTCATGACAGGGGATCCTATGACCCATGCTGGGAGGGGTCCTATGACCCATGATGGAACCCATGATGAGGGATCACATAACTCATGGAGGAACCCAAGATCAGGGGTCTCATAACTCATGGTAGGACCCATGACAGGGGATCCTATGACCCATGATGGGGGATCCTATGACCTGTGATGGGACCCATGATGGGGGATCCTATGACCCCTGATGGAACCCATGACGGGATCCTATGACCAATGATGGAACCCATAATGAGGAGTTCTATGACCCATACTGGGAGGGGTCCTATGACCCATGATGGAACCCAGGATAAGGGATCACATAACTCAGGGTGGAACCCATGATCAGGGGTCCCCTAACTCTTGGTGGGACCCATGACGGGGGCTCCTATGACCTATGATGGGACCCACGATGGGGGCTCCTATGACTCATGATGGGACCCGTGATGGGATCCTATGACCCGTGACAGGACCCATGACGGTGTGAGTGCCCTTCTCACAAGAGACCCCAGAACTTCATCTCTCTCTCTCTCTACCATATGAGACATAGTGAGAGGATGACCCTCTGCAAGCCAGGAGGAGACCTCCCTAGGAGCCCAGTCGGCCAGCACCCTGACCTCCAACGTGCAGCCTCTGGAAATGCGAGAGGCCAGTGTCTATGTGTGGGCCCACCCGGTCCGTGGGATGTGGCCTGAGGCTAAAACCGTGGCCTCGCAGAGCTGAGGGTGGGAGGGAATGTCGTGGGCTACTCACCAATCTGTGAAAAGAAGACAAACTTATCTGTGCAGGGGATACTGACGGCTGCGCTCCTGCCCCTCACCAGGATGTGGGAACTTTGAGAACCGCGGGAGAGTCGAGCGATGTCATCGAACCGACACCCGATCTGTGTTCCCCGAGCATCCGTTGTGTAGTGAAGGCACCTGTACTGTTCGTGGCTGCTGCGGTAAGCGGTAAGGTTGCGGGACGACCGTGCCCCGAAGGCCTGCACCGGGGACAGCCCGACCTGCCCAAGGGCACACCTACTTGGGATTGTTCAAGTACAGGTCGTACTGGACGTCAGCGGGGGCCGCCGGGCCTACCACCCAGCTGCAGCTCAAGAAATCCACGTCATGAACCCAGCAGGTCAGATTCTCCGCGCCTGCCTGAGGCGTCCCACCTGGGTTCACAAACATAAAAGAAAACTCGAATCGGGACCAGGTGTGGGGGCTCACACCTGTCACCCCAGCACTTTGGGAGGCCCACACGGGTGGATCACCTGAGGTCAGGAGTTCGAGACCAGCCTGGCCAATGTAGTGAAACCCCGTCTCTACTAAAAATACAAATATTAGCCGGGCGTGGTGGCTCACGCCTGTCATCCCAGCACTTTAGGAGGCCGAGGCGGTTGGATCACCTGAGGTCAGGAGTTCGAGACCGGCCTGGCCAACATGGAGAAACCCCATCTCTAATAAAAATATAAAAGAATTAGCCAGGTGTGATGTTGGGCCCCTGTCATCCCAGCTACTAGGGAGGCTGAGGCAGGAGAATTTCTTGCACCCGGGAGGCAGAGGTTGCAAGAAGCCGAGATCGCATTAGTGCACTCCAGCCTGGGCGACAGAGGGAGACTCTGTCTCAAAAAAATAAATAAATAAATAAATAAAATTCTAATCGCTTTTTAGAGTGCCTTTCGTATTCTGAGACCATGGAGGATACACAAGCAATTGTAAAAAAATAGTAATAATACAGAGAGATCCTAGACATTCTTTTATTTATTCATTTTTATACAGAGTCTCGCTCTGTCGACCAGGCTGGAGTGCAATGGTGCGATCTCAGCTCACTGCAACCTCTGCCTCCCGGGTTCAAGCGATTCTCCTGCCTCAGCCTCCTGAGTAGCTGGGATTACAGGCACCTGCCACCACACCCGGCTAATTTTGTATATTTAGTAGAGACGGGATTTCACCATGTTGGCCAGGCTGGTCTCGAACTCCCGACCTCAGGTGATCCACCTGCCTCGGCCTCCCAAAGTGCTGGGATGACAGGCGTGAGCCCCCACACCGAACCTCCCCAGGGAGCACTTTTACAGCCAAACCCACCTCTCTGCAGCTCTCGCTCCTGCTTATATCCCTGCAAACCAGGAGACTGTTTTCTATTTATAAAATGTTGCCATTTCAAGACAGTTGTATAAATGAAATCACTCTGTGTGTTACACTCTGGCGTGCTCTTTTTTTCCAACTCAGCATAACTCCCTGGGAATCTATTAAACTTAAAAATAATTAACTCGAGGCCAGGCACAGTCGTTCACGCCTATAATCCCAGCACTTTGGGAGGCCGAGGTGGGCGGATCACCTGAGGTCGGAAGATTGAGACCAGCCTGGCCAACATGGTGAAACCCCGTCTCTACTAAAAATACAAAAATTAGCCGGGCGTGGTGGCAGGTGCCTGTCATCCCAGCTACTCGGGAGGCTGAGGTGGGAGGATCACTTGAGCCTAGGAGTTTGAGACCAGCTTAGGTAACATAGCAACACCCCATCTCTATTTAAGGCGGGGCGTGGTGGCTCACCCCTGTACTCGCAGCACTTTGGGAGGATGAGGCGGGCAGATCACGAGGTCAGGAGTTTGGATCAGCCTGACCAACATGGTGAAACCCCATCTCGACTGAAAATACAAAATTAGCCAGGTATAGTGGCGGGCGCCTATAATCCCAGCTACTCAGGAGGCTGAGGCAGGAGAATCGCTTGAACCCGGGACGCGGGAGAAAGAGAAAGAGAAAGACAGAGGGAAAGAGAAAGAGCAACAGAGAGAAGGAGGGAAGGGAGGGAGGGAGGGAAGGAAGGAAGGAGAGGAGAGGAGAGAAGGAAAGAAGGGAGTGAGGCAGGGAGGGAAAGAAAGAGAAAGAAGGAAGGAAGGAAGAAGGAAAGGAAGGAAGAAGGAAGGAAAGAAAGAAAAGAAAAGAGAAAAAAAGGAAGGAAAGAAGAAGAGAAGGAAAGAAGGGAGTAAGGCAGGGAGGGAAAGAAGAGAAAGGGAAGGAAGAAGGAAAGGAAAGGAAGGAATGGAAGGGAGGAAGGAAAGAAAGAAAAGAAAAGAGAAAGGAAAGAGAGAAGAGGAGAAAGAAAGGAGTGAGGCAGGGAGGGAAATAAAGAGAAAGAGAAGGAAGGAAGAAGGAAAGGAAAGGAAGGAAGGGAAGGAAGAAGAAAGAAAGAAAAGCAAAGAGAAAAAGGAAGGAGGAAGGAGAGAAGAGAAGGAAAGAAGGGAGTGAGGCAGGGAGGGAAAGAAACAAGGAAGGAAGGAAGAAGGAAAGGAAAGAAAGGAAGGAACGGAAGGAAGAAGGAAGGAAGGAAAGAAAGAAAAAGGAAGGAGAGAAGAAGAGAAGGAAAGAAGGGAGTGAGGCAGGAGGGAAAGAGAAGGAAGGAAGGAAAGAAGGAAAGGAAAGAGGAAGGAACGGAGGAAGGAAAGAAAAGAAAAGAAAGGAAGGAAGGAAGGAGAGAAGAGAAGGAAAGAAGGGAGTGAGGGAGGGAAAGAAAGAGAGGGAAGGAAGGAAGGAAGAAGCAAAGGAAAGGAAGGAAGAAGGAAGGAAAGAAAAAAGAAAGGAAGGAAGGAGAGAAGAAGAGAAGGAAAGAAGGGAGTGAGGCAGGAGGGAAAGAGAGAGAAGGAAGGAAGGAAAGAAGGAAAGGAAAGAAAGGAAGGAACGGAAGGAAGGAAAGAAAAGAAAAGGAAGGAAGGAAGGAGAGAAGAGAAGGAAAGAAGGGAGTGAGGCAGGGAGGGAAAGAAAGAAAAGGAAGGAAGAAGAAAGGAAGGAACGGAAGGAAGAAGGAAAGAAAAAAGAAAAGGAAGGAAGGAAGGAGAGAAGAAGAGAAAGAAAGAAGGGAGTGAGGCAGAGAGGGAAAGAAAGAGAGGGAAGGAAGGAAGGAAGAAGCAAAGGAAAGGAAGGAAGAAGGAAGGAAGAAAAAAGAAAGGAAGGAAGGAAGAGAAGAAAGAAGGAAGGGAGTGAGGCAGGGAGGGAAAGAAAGAGAGGGAAGGAAGGAAGGAAGGAAAAAAGAAAAGGAAGGAAGGAGAGAAGAAGAGAAGGAAAGAAGGGAGTGAGGCAGGGAGGGAAAGAAAGAGAAAGAGAAGGAAGGAAGGAAGAAGGAAAGGAAAGGAAGGAAGAAGGAAGGAAAGAAAAAAGAAAGGAAGGAAGGAGAGAAGAAGAGAAGGAAAGAAGGGAGTGAGGCAGGAGGGAAAGAGAGAAAGAGAAGGAAGGAAGGAAGAAGGAAGGAAAGAAAAAAGGAAGGAAGGAGAGAAGAAGAGAAAGAAAGAAGGAGTGAGGCAGGGAGGGAAAGAAAGAGAGGGAAGGAAGGAAGGAAGGAAAGAAGGAAGGAAGGAAGGAGAGAAGAAGAGAAGGAAAGAAGGGAGTGAGGCAGGGAGGGAAAGAAAGAAAGAGAAGGAAGGAAGGAAGACAGATAAGGCAGACACAGGAGGGAGAGAGGAGAGAGGGAGGGAACAGACGGAAAGAACAGACACACAATGAACATTTTTCTCACTGTTCTCAGGGAAGAGGATCCACGTGGAGAACGGGGGACTGGCCACTCGGACGGTGTAGTTGGTCACTTCACATAAGGAAATGGCTCCGAACTGGCAATAGCTGTTGTTCATTGCCTGAGAGAGACACGGGAATGTGACGGCTGCGGGGAGACCATGCTGAATTTGATGCTAAGGATGTTCGGATGTTTTCTGAGGTCGAATTTCGCTCTTGTCGCCCAGGCTGGAGTGCAGTGGCGCGATCTCGGCCCACCGCAGCCTCTCCCGGGTGCAAGCCATTCTCCTGCTTCAACCTCCCAAGTACCTGGGATTACAGGTGCCCGCCACCACGCCCGGCTAATTTTTAAAGTATATTTTTGGGTAGACAACAGGGTTTCACCACATTAGCCAGGCTGGTCTCGAACTTCTGACCTCAGGTGATCCGCCCGCCTCGGCCTCCCAAAGTGCTGGGATGACAGACGTGAGCCACTGCGCCCGGACAAAATTTCCTTAGTTTTTTTTTTTCCCCCCCCCCCCCCCAACATTTGTGGTTCTAGATAAACTTGAGAGTCAGTTGGCCACGGTATATGGTAAAATCGCTTTGGGGTTCTAAACTGTTTAATCTCTACTCTCCAAAATCACATATGGAAGCCCTAATGTTCAATTGTGACCGTATTTGGAGCTGGAGTCTTTAAAGAGGCGATTCGGGGTAAAATGAGGTCATTAGGGTGGGCCCTGATCCAATAGGACTGGTGTCGTTATAAGAAGAGGGGATGAGGACACAGACACACACAGAGGGACGACCCCGTGAGGACACAGGGAGAAGACGGCGTCTCCAAGCCCAGGAGAGAGGCCTCAGGAGGAACCAGCCCTGCCCACACCTGGATCTCAGACCTCCAGCCTCCAGGACTGTGGGAGAATCAATGTCTGTTGTTTAGGCGTCCTGGGCTGTGGGACTTTGTAATGGTGGCCCGAGCAGACGCATAAAGGCCTGTGATTTGAATTGTATTGAACAGACATAGCACTTGGAGGGGACGAAATGGGTTCTCAAGGAAACGTGTTCCTTTACCACAAGACACTGACTTGGAAATCGCTCACATTCTCACCTGGGCCGCCCCGTGAGGTCTGGCCCTGTTCTCCAACCCTGAGAACGCAGGTGATGACAAGCTGGGGGATTTGGAAGGATTTCAGGATGAGAACCATGTTTCCTGAGCACACACTTTTGTTTTTTGTTTTGGTTTGTTTTGTTTGAGACGGATGTTTGCTCTTGTCGCCCAGGCTGGAGTGCAGTGGTGCGATCTCAGCTCACTGCAACCTCCGCCTCCCAGGTTGAAGCGATTCTCCTGCCTCAGCCTCCTGAATAGCTGGGATGACAGGCATCTGCCACCACGTCTGGCTGATTTTTATTTTTATTTTTCAAGACAAAGTCTCGCTCTTGTCCTCCAGACTGGAGTGCAATGGCACAATCTCGGCTCACTGCAACCTCTGCCTCCCGGGTTCAAGCGATTCTCCTGCCTCAGCCTCCCGAGTAGCTGGGATTACAGGCACCCACCACCACACCCGGCTAATTTTTATATTTTTAGTAGAGACGGGCTTTCGCCACATTGGCCAGGCTGGTCTCGAACTCCTGGCCTCAGGTGATCCATCCGCCTCGGCTTCCCAAAGTGCTGGGATGACAGGCGTGAGCCACCACGCCCAGTTAATTTTCGTATTTTTAGTGGAGACATGGTTTTGCCATGTTGGCCAGGCTGGTTTCGAACTCCTGACCTCAAATGATCCACCTGCTTTGGCCTCCCAAGGTGCTAGGATTATAGGCGCCCGCCACCACACCTAATTTTTTTTTGTATTGTTAGTAGAGACGGGGTTTCACTATGTTGGCCAGGCTGGTCTCGAACCCCTGACCTCAGGTGATCCGCCCGCCTCGACCTCCCAAAGTGCTGGGATGACGGGCGTGAGCCACCGCACCCAGCGTGCGGTTTGGTTTTCCACCAGTCATAGGTTAGCCTCGTTTCATTTTCACGTCCACCCTGTCCAGTGTGTGCCACCTTGGATATCCCGCGGATGGGGAACCAGACCCTCCAAACTCACTTCAAATCCCACAGCTGGCTTCGGGGCAGAACCCAGGTACTTATGACAACAGGGACGGGAGCAGTGCTGGTTCTCAGATTCCTGCGGGAGACGGAAACGTCTCGTTTGTCAACCGTAGAGAATAGGATTTACCGGCATAGAATAGTCGGTGCCTTTGATACACTCCACGTCGGTCACGTTTCTGTTCAGGTCCCACATCAACTGCTGAGCCTTTTCTTTCATCCTTAGATTCCTGATTGGTGCATTTGGATCTAAAACGGTGACAGGTTGGAGTTAGAAGAGATACACACAAATTTTTTTTTTTGGAGACGGAGTCTCGCTCTGTCACCCAGTCTGGAGTGCAGTGGTGCGATCTCGGCTCACTGCAAGGTCCGCCTCCCGGGTTCACGCCATTCTCCTGCCTCAGCCTCCCGAGTAGCTGGGATAATAGGTGCCCGCCACCACGCCCGGCTAATTTTTTGTATTTTTAGTAGAGACGGGGTTTTACCGTGTTGGCCAGGCTGGTTTTGAACTCCTGACCTCAAGTGATCCACCCGCCTCAGCCTCCCAAAGTGCTGGGATGACAGGCGTGAGCCACCACGCCCGGCCGGTAAAAGGCAATATTCTATCACATTTTGCTGGTCACCCGAGGCGAGAAACATACATCAGATATTTCTCCAGGGGTTTATCTCTGATCGGCCACTTAGAAAACTTGAGGAAATGACTCTGTAAACTGTAAGGATCTTCAGTGGTTATCAAGGTCAACAACCTTGGTCTGATAAGCAAGACCAAAACAGAAGAACATTTAGACTTCTGACATTATTTTCCCCTAACTTTGAAGCATAATTTATTCCTTCAAACAAACTCACTGAGAAAAAAATTCTTATAAGACTATTATTTATTTACTAATTTATTTATTTATTTATTTATTTATTTATTTATTTATTTAGAGATAGAGTCTCGCTCTGTCTCCCAGGCTGAAATGCAATGGCACGATCTCAGCTCACCGCAACCTCCACCTACTGGGTTCAAGGGATCTTCCCAAGTAGTTGGGACGAGAGGTGCACGCCACCATGCTCAGACTTTTTTTTTTTTTTTTTTTTTTGAGACGGAGTCTCGCTCTGTCGCCAGGCTGGAGTGCAGTGGCGCGATCTCGGCTCACTGCAAGCTCCGTCTCCCGGGTTCAAGAGATTCTCCTGCCTCAGTCTCCAGAGTGGCTGGGACTACAGGCACCTGTCACCACGCCCAGCTAATTTTTTTGTATTTTCAGTAGAGACAGGGTTTCACCATGTTGGCCAGGCTGGTCTTGATCTCCTGACTTCGTGATCTGCCCCCCTCGGCCTCCCAAAGTGCTCTGTTGCCCAGGCTGGAGTGCAGTGGCGTGATCTTGGCTCACTGTAACTTCCACCTCCTGGGTTCAAGCGATTCTCCTGCCTCAGCCGCCCGAGTAGCTGGGATTACAGGCGTGTGCCACCACGCCCAGCTAATTTTTGTATTTTTGGGGGGTTTTACCATGTTAGCCAGGCTGGTCACGATCTCCTGACCTCATGATCATCCATCTGCCTTGGCCTCCTGAAGTGCTGGGATTACACACTTGGGCACGGTGGCTCACGCTGGCAATCCCAGCACTTTGGGAGGCCGAGGCGGGTGGATCACCTGAGGTCAGGAGTTCGAGATCAGCCTGGTCAACATGGTGAAACTCCGTCTCTACAAAAAACAGAAAAATTAGCCGGGCGTGGTGGCAGGCACCTGTATTCCCAGGTACTTGGGAGGCTGAGCCAGGAGAATCAATGCAACCCAGGAGGTGGAGGTTGCAGTGAGCCACGGTCACGGTATTGCAATCCAGCCTGGGCAATAAGAGTGAAACTCTGTGTCAAAAAAAAAAAAGTTAAAGAATGAAAAGCAAATTAAAATGAAAAGGAATTCAAGCTAAAAGGAAACTGCTGCAATAGCAGACAGTAAAAACGAATGAAAAAAAGGCCGGGCACAGTGGCTCACACCTGTAATCCCAGTACTTTGGGAGGTCGAGGCAGGCGGATCACTTGTGGTCAGGAGTTCGAGACCAGCCTGACCAACATGGCGAAATCCTGTCTCTTAAAAAAAAAAAATAGAGAAATTAGCCGGGCGTGGTGGCGGGCACCTGTAATCCCAGTATTTTGGGAGGTCGAGGCGGGTAGATCACTGTGGTCAGGAGTTCGAGACCAGCCTGACCAACATGGCGAAATCCTGTCTCTATAAAAAAAAAATAGAGAAATTAGCCGGGCGTGGTGGCGGGCACCTGTAATCCCAGTATTTTGGGAGGTCGAGGCGGGTAGATCACTTGTGGTCAGGAGTTCGAGACCAGCCTGACCAACATGGCGAAATCCCGTCTCTATAAAAAGAATACAGAAATTAGCCGGGCGTGGTGGCGGGCACCTGTCATCCCAGCGACTTGAGAGGCCGAGGCAGGAGAATCACTTGAACCCGGGAGGTGGAGGTTGCAGTGAACTGAGATCGCGCCACTGCCCTCCAGCCTGGATGACAGAGTGAGACTCTGTCTCAAAACAAAACAAAAAAGAAAAAAGAAAGAAAAAAAAACATAACATAAACCGTGCAGGAAACTGAAACGGTAAACTGGCACTCCGGATCCCAGCGTGCGACTTTCATCCTAAGACCTCACATGGCGTCTGCGTCACCATCAGGTGCCTGCCTGTGACATCGTATTGCCGTTGTGCCAGACGCTGCGTTACAGGGAACTTGGCGACGGGTACAAGGAGGTCTCCGAGTCATTCCTGACCCGCCGCACGAGACTCTGCCATGAGCTCAACAGGGAAAGTCTCCCCGAAGAACAGCAGGTGACATTGTGCGTTTGTCCCCCCCACCCTCCACGGTCGATTTTTTTCTCCAGCCCTTACCCTCCTTGGTTTGCAGGAGACAGGGCGTGGCGACCAGGAGCAGCGTCAGCCAAAGGAGGGTCATCGGGAAGGACGGAGGTGCCTGCTGGAGGAGAACGGAGAGTCAGGCAGCGGGGACTGGCCATGTCTGTTTGCACGTTTGCACATGACCGCGTGCATGCCTGTGCACACGTGTCTATAAGCATACGTGGCTGTGGGCCTGCCCATCTGTGTACATTTGTGTGCCCGCGTGTATCTGGGTGCACACATACGTGTCTGTGTGTTTTCTTTTCTGTGTGTGACAGAGTCTCGCTCTGTCACCCAGGCTGGAGTGCAGTGGCAAGATCTCGGCTCGTTGCAACCTCCGCCTCCCGGGTTCAAGTGATTCTCCTGCCTCAGCCTCCTGAGTAGCTGGGATGACAAGCACCTGCCACCACGCCCAGTTAATTTTTGTTTTTGTTTTTTTTTTTTTTTTTTGAGACGGAGTTTTGCTCTTGTCGCCCAGGCTGGGGAGCGCAGTGACGCGGATTCTCGGCTCACCGCAACCTTGCCTCCTTGATTCAAGTGATTCTCCTGCCTCAGCTCCAAGTAGTTGGATTACAAAAGCAGGCACCACCACGCCCGGCTAATTTTGTATTTAGTAGAGACGGGGTTTCACCAGTTAGCCAGGCTGGTCTCGAACGTCCTGACCTCAGTGGATCCGCCCGCCTCGACCTCCCAAAGTGCTGGGATTACAGGTGTGAGTCACTGCACCCAGCCAACCTTTGTATTTTTTAGTAGAGACAGGGTTTCGCCATGTGGGCCAGCTGGTCTCGAACTCCTGACCTCAGGTGATCCACCTGCCTTGGCCTCCCAAAGTGCTGGGTTACAGGTTGAGCCACTGTGCCTGGCTGTGTTTGTGTGTTTTCATGCATATGTATCTGTGCGTGCGTTCCATGCATACACACATGTGCATACACCGATATACACGCATGAGTCTGCCTGTGTGCGTGCCTCCATGTGCCTAAAAGTGCATATTTATGTGCATGCATGTGTGAATGTATGTGTACAAAGGGTGTTTGCATGAGTGTGTACGTGTGCATGTATGTGCATTTCTGTGTGTGTACGCATCTGGTGTGTGTCAGCCTTTCCATTTTGAAAGAACCTCTACCGGCCGGGTGCAGTGGCTTCACGCCTGTCATCCCGGCACTTTGGGAGGCTGAGGCAGGTGGATCGCCTGAGGTCAGGAGTTCAAGACCAGCCTGGTCAACATGGTGAAACCCCGTCTCACTAAAAATACAAAAATTAGCCGGCGCGGGGGACACTCACCTGTCATCCCAGTCTACTCGGGAGGCTGAGGCAGGAGAATCGGTTGAACCCGGGAGGTGGAGGTTGCAGTGAACCAGGAATCGCACCACTGCACTCCAGCCTGGGTGACAGAGCGAGACTCCACCTCAAAAAAATAAAAAATAAAAAAAGAAAGCAGATGAGGTCACAGATATGTAATTAATCTGATTTAGCCATTCCACAAGGCATACATCTTTCAAACAGGGTAGACACCACAAATATATACAATTTTGGCAATTAAAAAAATAATTTTTCACATGCCTGTAATCCCAGCTACTCGGGAGGCTGAGGCAGGAGAATCGGTTGAACCCGGGAGGCGGAGCTTGCAGTGAGCCGAGATCGCCACTGCACTCCAGCCTGGATGACAGAGCGAGACTCCATCTCAAAAAAAAAAAGAAAAGAAAAAAAAAGAAAAAAGAAAATTAGCCAGATGTGGTTGCAGGCACCTGTAATCCCAGCTACTCAGGAGGCTGAGGCAGGAGAATCGCTTGAACCCGGGAGGCGGAGCTTGCAGTGAGCTGAGATGGCGCCACTGCCCTCCAGCCTGGATGACAGAGCGAGACTCCGTTTCAAAAAAAAAAAAAAAAAAAAACGGATAGTCCGTTCTTGGCTCCGGCTGTATCCACAAACCAGTAAAACTCATCCCCTGGGGCACAGCGGGAAACTCAGATGACAAAGCAGTGGAAGGAAGTTTAATTAGAATTATGAGTCAACGCAGACAG